ATGCTCAGTCCTCATTGTGGTGGTCCCATTTTGTTCCTACCATCAATCAGGGGGATCATATGCCTTCTCCAAGCATGAATGAGTGAATGACTCCTAGATGTGGGCAAACGATGGGCTATGGACATTACTTGCTAGTTTTCTGCATGAATATATTGGTCATGGTATTAGACCCATTACAAGTTCTCACTAACATTTGTACAGTGATTAAATATTTGAATGATTAAAAATTTGAAGCAATAAAGAAATTATGGAAGATGGGACTTAATTAATTAGCAGTTCTTGGGTTAATGAATTTTGTTTTCTTATTACTTACCAAAGTAGAGAGCAACAGCTTTCTTGACCAACACTGTATCAGTCATAGTCCAGGTTACATTTCAGTAACAAACAATGCCTATATCACAGGGATTCAACACAACCAACTTTGTTTCTCACTCATATAACATGTCAAATTCAGGGCAGGGAATTATGCTCATTGTAGTTTTTCAAGGATATGATGTTATCAAGACTACTTTTCTATATGGGTTTTCATAAGCATTGAGACAGAGGAAAAAGAACAGGGCATTTTTTGTAGTTTTTTAAGGGCTCTGCACATTTCGTTGTCCAAGCAAGTCATTTAGCCATACGTTACTTTACATGGGGGCAGGGAAACAAATTTTAGCACGTACTTGTGGTGGAAGGCTGGAGTATGTGAATGGCCCTATTGACTATCCTGTCTCTTTATGAGTTTCATCAAACCAGCTTGAGCGATGTCAGCCACACCTGCATTTGGCAACACCTAATATTCACAGGTGCTTTTGCTAAGGAATTATAATGCCTTTAAAACGGTTATTTGCCTCTTGGACATATGGTCTAGGTATCCTCCTTAAAACTCTCATAACTGGGGTGCCTGGGTGGCTCAGTCGTTAAGCATCTGCCTTCGGCTCAGGTCATGATCCCAGGGTCCTGGGATTGAGCCCTGCATGGGGCTCCCTGCTCAGCGGGAAGCCTGCTTCTCCCTCTCCCACTCCCCCGCTTGTGTTCCTTCTCTTGCTTTGTCTCTCTCTGTCAAATAAATAAATAAAATCTTTAAAAAAAAACTCTCATAACTAATAAGAATGTCATTTCAGCCAGAGCCTATGTCCAACTCCATTTTTCTGACAAAGACTTTTAAAACCCTAAAGTTATATTTTAGCTAATGAAAAAAGATGCAGCAAACACAAAAAGTTAAAACTTTTTCACAAAATTTAGACTGTGTGCTTTCTTTGGTTTCTAATTTCTTCAAAACTTTCTTAAGTAAACTAGTGATTGTAATTTCATACAAACCTTAATTCATTTATATATTAGTTCAACAATATTTTTTCTGTCATCAATAATTGTTACCAAATTTTCTTACATTGTGTATGTGATAGAAGTATCACAGAAAGGTCAAACCTACTGATACGCGAGATGTATGGTTCACAACTTAGTGAGCAAGTTTTTCCATCAGAAAGAGCCAGAGTAAACTGCAAACCACACAATGAGAAATGAATTGATTTGAAGGTGTCTGGAAAATAAATCTTGAATGTTTGCTTCAGTTTAAATATTTTAGTAGTACCTATCCACAGAGACTCCAGGTCCTGGTTTTAAGGAGATGAATTTCATGGACATCTTCCCACCTAGCACTTCTGAGAATACTTGTTATGTGGGATAAACATTGCTTTGCCAGTCTCACTACATCTGGTTGTAAACACTACTAATACAAGATTACAGAAAGAGATTCATTTATAGAGAAGCATGCAACAGCCATGACACCTGTGGATTATATGTAAAGGCCAAAAGTCTACTCAAATTCCCACTCTCAATAGATTTATGCATATTTTCATAAGCTCCCAGGTAGGAAAATTTGTGGGTCATTTTAGGATCCAAAGCCCCTGGGATATTCACACCTGTTAGGTAGCATCATTTCAAACACCATAAAAACAATCTCTGTCCTTCTCTCTCTTCATAGTGTTTTCATCAGTAAAAATGCTATCCCATTCCTCTAAATGTTCCCATCCTCATATCACCATGATAACCCACTCCGCTTTTCTTCTGCCACTATTATAACCAGCAGGGTGTCAGAAACCTCTATGTTGTGGTTGACTTTTCCTTTGTTTCTATTGGTAAGGGAAGTTACTTCTGGACATGATACCATGTTACTGACTCTCCAAAATCTTCACTTTGTGGACGTTCTTTTAGAAGAAAGTTCAGCTAAAAATCATAACAAAAAGAACATTAGATGTTCTCTCCTAGACAAGATGGCATAGACCTGTTTCTCCTTGCTCCTTTCCACTAAGGACAACAATAAACCCTGAAAACAATGAAGAGGCAACCAAGGGAGAATTTGGAAAGGTGGAAAGGGGAAGGCAAACTGTTTAGGAGCCTCAGGGTGGGAGGAACAACAGGACATGGGTCTGGCAACTCCCTCATATGAAAGAAGGAGATCCAGGCCTAGACTGGCCTAGATCCTAGACTTCCATGGTACCATGTACTGGTACCAGGTCATTCAGTCTGGGTAAATTCCTTCTTCCCTCCCTTCAGGTAGCACCAGCAGAAAACCGTGGGATCCTGAGAAAAAAATGAGCTAAACTAAGTAAATAAAAATAATACCACAAAGACCTTGAAAATTATATCACCATTGGAACCACAGATGACAAAGTAAGCCAGGCCTTTAGGCTAAACATAAACAGGGACCCTGCCTGCTAAAACAAAATGTTTAAGTAGAATTTAAGAGTATTAGAGTCGCCAAAGTGTTCAGGGTACACTCTAAATCATCCATTACAGCGAGAACCTGGAAATCACAACCTGAATGAGAAAGACAATCAAATGACCTTAACATTGAGAAGAATCAATTGTTGGAATCATCTGACAAGCATTTTAAAGCAACCATCATAAAAATGCTTCCATAATCAATCATGAAATTTCTTGAAACAAATGGAATAATATAATATCTCAGCAAACCAATAGGACTTATTTAAAAGAACCAAATAAAAATTGTGGAATTGAAAAATACAGTAACAGAAATTTTTTAAAAATTGCTAGATGAGCTCAGTAGTAGAGTGGAAATGATAGAAGGTAGAATCAATGAACTTGAAGACAGCTCTATAGAATTTACTCAATCTGACAACAGAGATAAAATTGACCAAAAAAAAAAAGAAATGAGCAGAGTTTCAGAGACCCGTTGGACAATAATGAAAGATCCAATGTTCTTATTACTGAAATTTCAGAAGAAGAGAAGAAAGAAATGGGCCAAAAATCTTTGAAGAAATACTGGCTTGAAAGCTTTTCAAAGTTGGCACAGCTTTATAAAGCTGAGCAAACTCAAAACAAGATAAACTCCAAGAAATCCAGGCTGAGACACAACATAACTCAGCTTTTGAAAATTAAAGGGATGGGGTGCCTGGGTGGCTCAGTCAGTTGGTTAAGCATCTGCCTTTGGCTCAGGTCATGATCTCAGGGTCCTGGGATCGAGCCCTGCATCAGGCTCCGGCTCAGTGGGGAGTCTGCTTCTCCCTCTGCTTTTCTTACTTCTGCTCTCTCTCTCTCTCAAACAAATAACATCTTTAAAAAAAATAAAAAATAAGGGCACCTGGATGTCTCAGTCAGTTAAGCGTCTGCCTTAGGCTCAGGTCATGATCCCAGGGTCCTGGGATCAAGCCCCATGTCAGCTTATATGAGATAAAATATGATATAATAAATAATAGAATAGAATAGATTTGGCTCCAGGGTTCCAGGAAGTATAAATAGTTAATACCTGTTAAAAACTTATGCTAGGGACTACCCCAGGGTTAGTACTCAATGCAAGTTATTTATTATTATTATTATTCATTATTATTATTAACAATAACCATTGGGAATCTAAGAAGTCTTCTTAAAAGAGGTGGTGCAGGAGTTGGATTGCAGAGGGGAATAGCAATGTTTTCAGTGCTATTTAAGATTGGGGAGGACATTCTGGGCAGAAGGAACAGCATGTGTGCAGGTCCAGAGACAGGAGATGCATGTGGCCTTCACAGAAATGCAAAGGGGTTGATACTGATGGAGCAGACATGGAGAGAGAAGAGGCCAAGGGCCCTGTGGTGGGCAGCGAATGCAGGGCCGGGGGCCTTGGACTTGGCCCTGCAGGTCAGAGCCTGCAGACCCCTATTAGGTTCACAGATAGCTTCTTAGGGGGAGCACAGTTCGTGAATATTTGGTAAATTTGTGGCTTTGTGGCCTAATTTTTAAAAGGTTATTTTATAGTGGTAGTTGGCATTTGGAAGACATTTTGATTGATTCAGATTTTAGTTTCCAAAGTTGGGGTCCTGTAGGATGACTTCAACTAAGATTCTTGGTCACCAGAAATTCTGAATCAAAAGTCTATGGAGGGCGCCTGGGTGGCTCAGTTGGTTAAGCGACTGCCTTCGGCTCAGGTCATGATCCCAGAGTCCTGGGATCGAGTCCCACATCGGGCTCCCTGCTCGGCAGGAAGCCTGCTTCTCCCTCTCCCACTCCCCCTGCTTGTGTTCCTGCTCTCGCTGTCTCTGTCTCTGTCAAATAAATAAATAAAATCTTTAAAAAAAAAAAAAAGTCTATGGAAACTTGCTCCCCCCGGCCCTCTCCCTCTCTCTCCCTCTCCCTCTCTGTGTACGTAGATTCACCCACACCCGTATGTCTAGGCAAAGACGTGGTGCTATATATCCAGATCATCAGGCTCATGAGATCATATGTGTGTGTGTGTGTGTGTGTATTTGCTTCTTTTTGGAAGCACATTTTACAAGCTTCAGAAATACCACCGTGGGCAATGAATACGCGTGGGCAGGGCCAGCTCCACGGGCATGGAAGGGATGGGCCCACTGGGCTCTGAGTTAAGGGGGCTCCGTGCACACTTTAATGCTCTGCTGTTACCGTCTAGAGATTCTTTTGTACAAGGGGCCCTGCATTTTCATTTTCTGCTCGGTCCTGCAGCTCATGCAGCCAGTCCTGTGCAGGGGCGCTGATTATTCGCTTGTTCTCTTCATTGGCAGGTATGAAAACTGAGGTTTGGAGGTGCCCATCATCTCCAATTGGGAAGCGGAAGATGGATGGGGCCAGCCTGACTGATGCCTTTTTATCGTGCATGGAGGTAGCCAAGTGCTGTATTTGAGTTTGGGGGAGAGATATAATTAGTTCCAACAGTTTTCCTTAAACCAATAAACATTTGTTCCCCTCACCAGGAGAGTTCCTTCCAAGGGGTTCCTGCTGTGGGATTTTTGAGGCCTTTTCCCAGGAGCAGCTCATGTCTCCATACCTCCCACCCAGGATTACGGCTCTGGGACTGGCCAGCGTTTGGCCTACTGAGCTCAGAGTCAGGTGGTACTGAGGGGGGTCGGGGCAGAGCCAGCTTAGGTACTACCTGAGCTTTCAAGGTGGGAAAGCCTGGATTCCAGTGGTGTCCATCCAGGCTGCGGTCCTGGGAGCCCGGAGTGGCTGCCACACCCACACGTGGAGGCTCAGACATGGCTGCAGACTCGGTAGCACCAGGCTGATGCTCGTGGTGGGGGCTGGCGGCTGGCGGGGACCCTTGCTCTCTACCTGACTCTCAATCCAGGAAACTCCCGCTCCCTCCCTCCATCAGAGGCCCCTTAGGGGATCGCTTAGGAGGGCAGGTTTATGTCCCTGTGGGCCAATCCTAAGCCGTGAGTTCCAAGCAGGTGCTCCAGAAGTTGCCCACTCCACCTCAGGGCGGCTCCGACAGCAAGAAGGGTCTTCCTTACTGCGACAGCTCTGGAACCTGTCAGCTTGGCTGCATTTCCCAGAACTTATTTTCAGCTATGTTTCTGGATAGGGTGGCTCCCAGGAAGATTCTTGGGAGGCTGGGAAGGTCTGCTGGGAAGTGGCGCAGACATCCGTGAAGCCACGGCCCAGTCTGCTGTGGGCCAAATGTGCGTGCCCAACCCCACGAAGGAGGGCCCAGGACACCCTTGTCACCAGGTCACATGATGGACACGGTTTCAGCCCAAGCTCCCACTAGAAGGCTCTGGCCTGCTTCTTGTGCCCTCCCCCTCCTGACAGCCTGCCGCAGGGACTGCAAGCTTCTAGCAGCAGCTGTGGGGACGGCAGCCTGGCAGAGACCGCGTAGCCAAACCACCTCCCATGACAGGGCTAGGTCAGTCCCCTCCACCAAACAAAACATGTATCTCTCACTGGTTCTGCTTCTCTGGGTGAGCCTCAGTGCCACACTTCGATCCCACGGGAACCAGGCTCCCTGTAACTTGCACTTGTGGGCCCTAACTTGACCTCTGGGTGTCCTAAGAAATAGGTCTGTTCTCTCGTCTGCCTCAGACTTCCCACTACATTTGCTCTTCTCAGGCTAGAGCCCCTCAGGACCTTCCGACGACCTGCTGAGGAATGTCTGAGCCCTCTCAGAACTGGAGCTCTTGTGCCCCTTCCTGCTGTCCTTGCAGGAAGACCCAGAACTGGGCTTGGTTGTCCAGGTGAGGCCTTTGCTTTCTTAAGTCCTTATTGTAGCCCCTTCACACAAAGCTCAGACAAAACAAGTATCAGTGACTCCCAGTTCCTGCCTGAATTCACAAGAACCCGTTCTTTCTCCTGACCGCAGGAGAGAGTGGCCCTGGGAGAAACTTAACCCACTCTGGCTTCATTTGGTTTTCTGCCTGGAGCCTGAATGCCAGGCCGGGCTGGGCTGCCTCTGTCTGGTTATCACTCATCAGGCCTCTCGGGCTTGGCAGGCCATCTGCTGGGCTCGACACTGCGCCTTCTGTGGGTTTTGGCTGCAAGAGGGTTGTGAGGGCCTGGCAGTGACACCCCTTTACCTAGCAGTGCCTTCTCACCCTGCCCCTGGCTCCCAGGGTGGACAGGAGTGGAGCCACCTAGCTGGCTGAGTCTGCACCTGGTCCTCTGTCTTTAACTGGCTTCTGAAGTCACTGAACGTTCCAGACCTGAGTCTCACCTTGCCCCGTGGCTCAGGGCTCTGACAGATGTAAAGAAAGGAGTAGCAATGGACCCATCTGTTTGATATGTTTCTTCACTAAGCTCATCCAGGGCCTGGCCTTCTGTCCTGTGGCCTTACTTACCTGCCCAGAGGAATTGTTCAGCCCTCAGTTCAGGCTTTTTCATTAAAACAGTGAGGCAGTGAGATGGATTGCCTGACAACCTTACCTCTGGATTCCCAAAAAGAGCCGGCCAACCCCCCTAATCTAGGCAGAGGCCAGACCCTACCTCACCCCCGGTCCACCCAGACTCCTTAATTTCTGGCCATAAATGTACAGTGTCTGCACCTGTGAAGCTTTCTGCCCCTTCCTCCTGTGATTTTCATGACTCTCATAGCTTCGGAACAAAGATCTCTTCCTAGACAACCAATCCCAAGGAAACTCAAAAGATATTTTGGGGATCCCAGATGAGAAAGGTTTAGGCCACGGTTGAGACCATAGAGAGGCTGACTCCTGCACGTTTAGCATTGCTCTGGGCAACAGCTCTGGCTCTGGCACGGCTGGGAGCATCATCTGCGCTGACAGTGGCATCTGAGACTTCGTGGGTCTGTCCCCAGACAGTCTCTGTGGGGATAGATACAGGCAGGTAGAGAGGATTTGCTGATAAACTTCTGTGAGCTTCTAGGATCTGAATGCGCCTGAGAGACCGGACCTCAAAAGGGAACGAGTGCTTCTCTGATGTCCCTGGGGCAGCCCGGGAGCAAGCACAGAAGCCCACCGTGTCACAGGAAGTGCCTTCTGGGAGTTCTTGCGGACACTGTGGGAACTGCCCTTCCCCCCACCTGTGCTTCCACATTGGCTTAGAGATTCTTCAAGAGGTGAGGTGAAAGACCAAGAAATCAGTTCCTCCTCCCCCTTCAGCTGGGGTGGCCATCCTCCCTGAGGGCTGGGGACCTCAGGTCTGGGAAGCTGCCAAGTCATCATCCCCCACATTCATCCCAGCTCCTCCTAGAATCTGATGCCATGTCTCAGCTGGGCCCTGCAGAACAGTTTCTCTCCCATGCCTGAGCCCTTCTGCAAGGGTGAGAGAGACTGGGCCTAAGCTTGGAGTGCTCCTAACCCCATTGCCGTCCTTGCTTTGCCCCCCTCATTTGTCTTGAAAACAAACAAACAAACAGAATTTGTCAACTTGCTTTTCTCTCCCACACCAACCAGTGGACCTCGCTTCATGAAGTCACAGCTTTGGGGGCTCGCCCATCTCTTAACCGAGTGTCTGTGGCAAGTGAATGACACCTTCCTGTTTCCATTAAACGGAGAAGATCACTAGGGCTGATTTGAGGATGATGGACTCCATGAGGGGGATTCAGGAAGGTACCTGGTGGAGGCCAGTGCGTTGTAGGCGTCTTGTCCTTCTCCTCCTGTTCTTGCCTTGCTAGTTCAACCACAATCTCTCCGGAATTGTCCCCTGATGCCCCTGACCAAGGACATTGCTCTCCTCCAGGCAGGGAAGCCTGAGGCCCAGTGGCCTCAAGCTGCAGGCTTATGGACTCCTGGGTGTGTCCAGGACTCTTGGCCCCACTGAAGTTCCCTCCTTAGGAGGCCCTCTGCCTGGAGAACATGACTCCTAAAACAGTTCTCCCATGAGGTGCTATAATTCCAGAAACAACTTACCACATTGCAGAGCAAAGTTTACTCTGTAATCAAAGTTTTAGTAACACAACAGCCTTTCCTACCCCACACTGCTGAAGCTTAGGATAATAACTCAGTGATTTATTAAAAAAAAAAAAAAATGTGTTCACACATTTCTATGCCTGGCCAAAAAAGAAAGGAGAGAAAGAGAAAATACAAATGCAATTTTTACCCAAGCTCAGGAGAAAGCCCAAGACCGTGCTTCTCTTCTGGTCACTAGGATTTCTGGGTTGTGATTTGTGGTCTGAGGACAGGGCCCCAGCAGGGCTTGCCGAGCTCTTTCCAGGACCCCTGACTTCAATGAGAAAAGTACATTGAGGACCAAGAAAAGGCACTGATGAATGCAGACACAGGATTCTGGAACAGCGTCTCCAGCTGAATGGGCCGAGCACTAGGAAATGAGGCCTGGGACCTGCTGAGCCCAGCAACTGGCACAGTTGTGGCCTGGACAAGTGACAGGCCCTCTCCCACCCTCTGTTTTCCCCTCTGAGGAAGGGGTCTCTACAGTCCTTACCAAATCTGAGAGCAGATATCTGGTCTCTCTCTCTCTTGTCCCACTGGGGCGGATGGGGGCCTTGATGTCTCTTTCCTGCTCCCCCCACTCTCATGAGACCTGGGTAGCCAGCCCTCCCCCGGCAACAAAACCAACAGGGGTCAGCCCAGAAAGCTGGCAGGATCTGCAGGGGGCAGTGAGCTGGTAGGGAGAGCCTCCCTCAGAAAAGAATAGCACAAAGGGCCACTGTTTACCGAGCTCGTGCCAAGTGCCAGGCACACACTTCATCCTCACGGCAGCCCTGCGAGGCCAGTGTGGAAAATCAGGTCCAGAGAAGCTTGGTCACATGCCCAAGGCCTCCAGCCAGTGGACCCAGAGGGCCTTCCCCACTTCCCAAGCAGCCTACCCGGGAGGCAGCAGAAAGCCCACCCCACAGGGGTCCCGGGGACAGTGCATGTGTGTGATCCTGGCTGCAGACAGCCTGGGCACTCTCCCTCCCTGAAGCCGGAGGCTTGTGGATGAGAATTGCCTGGGTCCAGAGGGCCCCGTCATTCAGAACTCTGCAGTCACCGGGACCCTGTTTTCTCCAAATCCTGAGCAGGAATCCGCACAGTGATCTCCAAAGTCGGTGGCACCGACTCCTTATTCCATGATCTACCCATTATACGGATGGAGAACGGAGCCCCAGAGAAGTTCAGTGACAGTCCAAGGTCACCTGGCATGTGAGCCAACCCAGCTGTGCCTCACTGCAAAGCTGAAGGACGGGCCATCCCAGCCACTGTGCAACTGAGAGCAGCTAACCAGCGAGTCACAGCAGCAATGGTCACCCCCCTGCCTGTAGAGAGGACTCGTCAGGACAAGTACGGAGCAGAAGTTACACCGTGCCCGACACCTAGAATGTGTTTGAGAAATTAGCCACTAACGCGAGCATTCCTCTTACCCTGTGCAGGCCCCATCCCACAGGTACGAGCCCATTTACAGTCACCACGTCTCTGTGAGGCAGGCATGGGGGTCACCTCAGTTGACAGATGACACACAGGAGACGCAGAGCGGCGGGCTCGTCCAAGGATCTGGGGGGGCCGGGACTTGAAC